CTATTCACCTTAGCTATGTCTCTCATGATTTTATAAACCTCTATAAGGTCACCCCTCAACCTCCTACGCTCCAGTGTAAAATGTCCCAGTCTATCCAGCCTCTCCTTATAACTCAAACCCTCCAGTCCTGGCAACATCCTGGTAAATCTTTTCTGAACCCTCTCCAATTTACTAATAACCTTCCTCTAGCAGGGCGACCAGAACTAGACACAGTACTCCAGAAGAGGCCTCAATAACATCCTGTACAGCTGCAACAAGACATCCCAACACCTGCACTCAAAGGTCTAAGCAACGAAGATAAGTGTGCTAAACACCTTCTTAGCCACACTGTCTACCTGTGATACAACTTTCAAAGAACCATGTACCTGAACCCCTCCGTCACTCTATTCTACAACACTATCCATAAGTCCTGCCCTTGTTTGCTTTACCAAAATGCAATACTTCACATTTATCCAATTTAAACTCCATCTGCCACTTCTCCTCCAGTCTGAAAAACAACCCTCCATCACCACCCTCTGTCTCCTACTATTAAGCCAATTTTGTATCCAATTGGCAAGCTCTCCCTGAATCCCATGTGATCTGACTTTACTAATTAGTCTACCATGCGGAACCTAGTCAAAGGCTTAACTAAAGTCCATGTAGAAAACATCTACCTCTCTGCCCCCATCAATCTTTTTGGTTACATCTTCAAAAAAGGGGTGGCATCGTGGCTCAGTGGTTAGCACTGCTGCCTCACAGCACCAGGGACCCTCGGGCAACTGTCTGTGTGGAGTTTGCACATTCTCCCCATGCCTGCGTGGGTTTCCTCCGGGTGCTCCGGTTTCCTCCCACAGTCCAAAGATGCGCAGGCTAGGTGGATCGGCCATGGGAAATGCAGGGTTAGAGGGATAGGGTGGGGGTTGGGTCTGGGTGGGATGCTGTTTGGAGGGTCAGTGTAGACGCGATGGGCCAAATGGCCTGTTTCAAAATTGTGGGGCTTCTATAAACCCAATCAAGTTTGTGAGACATGATTTCTCACGCACAAATCCATGCTGACTATCTCTAATCAGTCCTTGCATTTCCAAATACATGTAAATCCTGTCCCTCAGGATTCCCACCAACAACTCACCCACCATTGATGTCAGACTCACAGGTCTATAGTTCCCAGGCTTCTTCTTACAGCCTTTCTTAAATAAAGGCATAAAATTAGCCACTGTTCAGTCCTCTGGCATCTCACCCATATATATAGATGGTACAAATATCTCTGGATGTGTACTCAATGGAGTTTAGAAGGATGGTGACGGGGTGGGGGGTGGGGGGGTGGATTTTGACTGAAACTTACAGAATATGGAGAGGCCTGGATAGAATGGATGAGGAGAAGATCCTTCCATGAGTAGGAGAGACTGGGATCTGAGGGCACAGCCTCATAATAAAGGGATGACTCTTTAAGACTGAAATGAGGAAGAATTTCTTCAGCCAAAGGGTGGTTTATCTGTGCAACTCATTGCCACAGAGGGCTGTGGAGGCCAAGTCATTGAGTATCTTTAAGAAAGAGATAAATAGGTTCTTGATTGGTAACGGGATCAAGGGTTACAGGGAGAAGGCAGCAGATTGGGGTTGAGATACATGACAGCCATAATTGAATGGCAGAACCAACTCAATGGGCTGAATGGCCTAATTCTGCTCCCATATTGCATGAAATAATGGAAGAGGCTCAAGGGGCTGATTAACCTGCCTCCATTTCCACATTGCCATGTCCCTTTCTCTGTGCTTCTCCCTGACTCCTAGTTAAACTTTTGGAGCGGGGTGACTGAAAACCAGAAACTAACAGGACTCTGCGAGAAGAGCATTTGGGAATCCAAACAGACCCATCATCGAGGAGAGAATGACCTATAAGTTGCTATTCTTGTTGTGAAGGTTTCTCCAGGTCTTTTCAGGGAATCCCACCAGAGGAGAGGACTTGGTCAGGTGGGTAATATAGATAAAAAGCCTCTAAACTTTTGAGAATTTTGTAGTTTTAAAGATGGAACAAGATCCTGCAGCATGTTTGATGATCTGAGAAAACTTTGTCTTCATTGCTGTGCCTGAATGAGCAGGAAAAGCCAGAGGAACAGCAAGTCCACACCTTCAGCTGTCTGTATCATTTCTCCATTTCTTCACCTGAATTCTGGAACCCTTAACCTCCCTCACCTTTTGTAAATCCATGGCCATCTGTTTCTCCTCTTCCCCTCTGGTTCTTTTCCCAATTCCCTTCAATCTATGTCCCTCTGGTCACTGACCCTGCTGCCCCTGGAAACAGTTTCCCTCATTAATTCGATCAAAACCTTTTGTGTTCCTGTCAGCTGTGTTATCATACACAGAGGCTAAGAATCCTGTGGCAAGTAACTCGCCTCCTGACTCCTCAAAGCCTGTCAACCACCTACAAGGCACAAGTTAGGAGTGTGATGGAATACTCACGCCTTACCTGGATGAGTGCAGCCCCAACAACACTCAAGAAGCTCGACACCATCCATGACCAAGCAGCTGCTTGATTGACACTACATCCACAAACATTCACTCCTTCCACAACTGATGCTCAGTAGCAGCAATGTGTACTATCTACAAAATGCACTGCAGAAATTCACCAAAAACTCTCATGGAACACCTTCCAAATCCACGACCACTTCCATCTAGAAAGACTTGGGCAGAAAATACATGGGAACACCACCACCTGCAAGTTCCCCTCCAAGCCACTCACCATCCTGACTTGGAAATATATAGCCATTCCTTCACTGTTGCTGGGTCAAAATCCTAGAATTCCCTCCCTAAGGGCATTGTGGGTAAACACACAGCATGTGGACTGCAGTGGTTCAAGAAGGCAGCTCACCACCACCTTCTCAAGGGCAACTAGAGAATAAATGCTGACCCAGCCAGCAATGCCCATGTGTGCGGAATGAATAAAAGGAAACACAGTCTCGGGGGCATGCTACCATCTGTCTCTAGCCCAGGTCAGACAGCATTGGAGACAGCAGCTCCAACTGGTGTAAGAGGATGAGGGGTTAGCGATGGCAGTGAGGAAGAGGCAGTTTGTGCCCAGGGGCCTGGCAGTGTCTCATGGCCCCCTGCCCATGCAGACTCTGATATTGTATTGGCCTCTCCCCATGTTGAAAATAAAAGCTGATCTCCAAGTAAACAGTATCCCCCACCGGGCCACAGTCCTCAAGGACCTGGGCAGGATACCAGCGACCCCGGTACACCAGGAGATGTTGGTCTGGACCTCCTGACCTTGCTGTTTTCCAGAACCATCCAGGGATAGTTTGGTGAGATTCTCGGGCATGGAGGAGTTTAAAGCTTCCTTGGAATGACAGTTCAATCCCAGCCAAAGTCTCAGGGGCCAAATACTCACTGGTTCGATAATGGCAGGTTCACCTTTCTGTCCCTTTTCACCCTTTGGTCCAGTGCCCTACAGACAATGAGTACAAGAGAAACATGTTCAAATTTTTAATTCAAATATTCTTTCCATATTTAGCAAATTCACGACTCACAGCAAATTCATCAAAGGAACAATATCAACATGGAGGGGGTGGAGTGAGGAATGAGGAGAGTGAGGGACTGGGGAAATGAGGGATGGAGGATGAGGCATGGCAGAATGGGTGATGAGAGCATGAAGGATGGGGAGAATGAGGAATGGGGGAGTGTGAGGGATGGGGAGAGTGAGAGTTGGGGAGTGTGAGGGATGGGGAGAGTGAGAGTTGGGGAGAGTGAGGGACAGGAAGAATGAAGTAGGGGGAGAGTGAGAGAGGGGAGAGCGAGGGGCAGAGGGACTGAGGGGTGGGGAGTGAGGGACAGAGGGTGAGGGACAGGGACAGTGAGGGACAGGGAGAGTGAGGGACGGGGAGAGTGAGGGATGGGGAGAGTGAGTGAGGGGGAGAGTGAGGTACGGAGAAGTGAAGGATGGGTGGTGTGAGGGATTGGGAGAGTGAGAGACGGGAAAGTGAGGGACGGGAAGAGTGAGAGACGGGGGTGTGAGGGAGAGGGAGAGTGAGGGACAGAGGGTATGAGAGATTGGGAGAATGGGCTAAAAGGTTGGGAGGGTGTTTGATTCCAGATGAATCTTCAATGGGGAAGGTAGCACCATGTTGAAGCTGGAAGTGTTCACCATTTAAAATTCTCACCACTTCATGGATGTTATCCGTGATCACCGGGGAGACGGGGCCGATTTCTCGGTTGTTATCGAGTTCTTCATATTCATAATAAACCTCATAGTCATCATAGAATGAGTTGTCATCTTCTTCACCGATTGTAGTTACGTTGAATTTGTCTTCTGTCTCCTCTGGTCCTGTTCTCTTGTCCAGATCCTCGTTGATGGCATAATCAGAATTTCCTTCCAAGATGGTCTCGTTGTGTGCAAACACCTCCGGACTGACAGTCTGGGTCTTGATACCACAGGAAAGCACAGAACAGGAGAACGGTTGATTATTACAGATGGATAAAATGCACAGAAAGTAGAAGGTGATGTAAACGGACCTGAGGAAAGCTCAAAGATACAACGAAGATTGTAAAAGACAAGTAAAATTCTTTGCTGTAGTAAACATGGGGCTCCAATTCTTTAACTGCCATTAAGAAACATTTACAGCTGAGCCTCCATTTTGCTTGTGTGTGTGTTTGTGTGTGTGTGTGTACATGTGTGTGTGTGTGTGTGTGTGTGTACATGTGTGTGTGTTTGTGTACATGTGTGTGTGTATTTGTGTATGAGTATCTGTGTACATGTGTGTGTCTGTGTGTGTGTGTACATGTGTGTGTGTATGTGTTTGTATCAGGGTGAGTGTGTGTGTACGTGTGTGTGTGTCAGGGTGTGTGTGTGCGTGTACATACATGGGTGTGTGTCTGTGTCAGGGTGTGCGTGTGTGTGTGTCTGTTCATGTGTGTGTGTGTATGTGTGTGCATGTGCGCGTGTGTCAGAGTCTGTGTGTGAGAGAGAGAGAGAATATATGTGTCTGTCGGTGTGTGTGTGTCTGTGTCATGGTGTGTGTATGTGTGTGACGGGGTGAGTGTGTGTTGTGTGTGTGTGTGTCAGAGTGTGTGTGTGGGTGGGTGGGTGTGTGTGTGGGTGGGTGTGTGTGTGTGTCTGTGTACATGTATGTATGTATGTGTGTGTGTTCATGTGTGTGTGTATCAGGGTATGTGTGTGTGTACAGGTGTGTATACACACTCACTCTCATACACACACACACAACATACACACACCCCAATCCAGACTCGATGCCTCTAATCATAAACTCAAGAATCCTCTAAGCCTTCTTAACTGTTTCAATTTGCCTGACCACCTTCAGAGAATCATACACATAAACCCTGAGATCCCTCTGCTCCTGTTCTCCCCTCAAAGTTTGTCTCTCCATACTTCTTCTACCAAAATGCATAACCTCACATTTCTTTGCAATGAAATTCATCTGCCAGGTGTCTGCTCATTTGGCCAATCTATCAGTGTCCCTCTGAAGTCGCACAGCATCATCCTCACACCTCACTATTCTCCCCAGTTCAGTACCATCTGTAAATTTTTCCCTCAACACACATCTCCAAATCGTTATATAAATCAGGAAAAGCAACGGTCTCAACACCGACTCCTGGAGAACTGCACTTTCAACTTGTCTTCAGTCTGAAAAATGTCCATCTATAACCACCCTCTGTTTCCCATCTTTTCGCCAACTTCTAATCCATATTGTCAAGGACCCATCAATCCCAAACATTCCTCATTTGCTAATCAACCTGCCATGTGGCACTGTATCAAATACTTTCTGAAAGTCCAAATACACAACATTCATAGTGCTATCCTCATCCACTGCCTGTGTCACCTCTTGAAATGAACTCAATTAAATCTGTCAGACATGATCTGCCCTTGATAAAGCCATGGTGACTGTCGAATATTAGCTTATTTTTCTCTGAAAGTATATTTATTTTATGCCATATTATGCTTTCCATCAATTTTCCCACTATTGATGTCGAGCTGACAGGGCTGTAGTTCCCTGGATTATCCTTTGCCCCTTTCCTAAAACAGCGGTGTCATGTTTGCAATTCCTATTGTGAATTATCCAGTGGGCATTGATCCAGTATTAATTATTCAGCATGTATTACCCAGGTATGTGTATTCATCCAATGTTCATTATCCAGTATGTATTATACAGAGTGTATATTATCCAGTGTTTACGTGTGTGTGTGTGTGTGTTGATCCGGTGTTTATTATCCAGTGTGTGTGCCCTAGGATGTATTTCCCAGTGTCTATTCTTCAGTGTCTATTTCCCAGTGTGTACTCACAAGTGTGTATTCCCCAGTGTGTATTTTCCAGTTTCTATTTCCCAGTGTTTATTCCCCAGTGTGTA